ACCCATAGCGACCCTGTACAGGGTTTCCGAGGGTGTAAATCTTTACGGGAGTAGAAAGCCTCATCTTTCTCCCGCGGAGCGGCTGGTAGTTTCAAACCGCTAACCTTAAGGTTCGCAGCCCGATTCGTAACCACTACGCTACCAGAGCTCCTTACACTAATGTCTACTGCAGCATTATTTGCAACAACCAAAAAGAAAAGATCTGCTAATAGATGAATGGGCAAACAAAATGTGGTGTCTACAACAACAACAATGGAATAGTACTCAGACATAAGAGACATGGATTTCTGATACATGTCACCATATGGATCAGCCTTGAAAACATTATTTTAAGTGAAATAAGCCAGGCATAAAAGGACAACAATTATATTTATATGATACCTTTCTATAAAATATCTAGAGTAAGTAAATCTATCTAGATGAAAGGTTAATGGATCCCAGGGGCCAGGGAAATAGGGGAATGGGAATTATTGCTCAAGGGGTCCTGAGTTTTTGTTTGGAAATTTCTAGTGGTGATGATAACATAGCATGGTGAATTTAAATCGTATTACTGAATTTAAATAGTATTACTTAAAAACATACATATCAAGAGAACATGTGCCGGGGTTAGTAAAGTTCAAAGTGCATGTCCATCACACTGTCTGAAGATATTTGTATCTCAGCCAGAATGGCAGTTCTTAACTCTTTAAAACTAATAAAAAACTAGTTTTTATTATACATCTATTGTTTAACTTATACATAGTAACTGACTATAGATTGACAACAGGACAAATAAAAATTAACCTAATTTTGATAAGGAGTTAAAAATGAACATTAAAAAAATAATGATTATATAAACTTTGCCTTGGGATAATTCTCACCATATCTATAAATTAAATTCATCTCTCAAAAATCTGGCATAGCATCTTATAGATAGTATGTCTCTGAATCCTCAAAGATCATTATTAAGCAGAGAAAATTCAATGATGAGCATTTTTCTCTTTGAGAATATGGGCTATTTATACCCTTCATAAGCCATTTAAGATGAAATGTTTGCCAACGATAACATGACATTTTCTCTCTTACATCTTATTTAGTAATAAAATGCAAGTACTATTTGATAAATTTGATTTTGAAAATATGCAAAGCAAGATTATTGATCTATTTTTTTTATGTCATAGCATATTTAATATACTAATTACGAATCGGGCTGCGAACCACAAGGTCAGCAGTTCGAAACTACCAGCTGCTCCATGGGAAAAAGATGAGGCTTTCTGCTCCCATAAAGATTTACAGCCTTGGGAACCCTGTTCAGGGCCGCTATGGGTCAGAACCGACTTGATGGCAATTAACAACAGCAACAACAAATTTTAATCTAGACTAAATCTTAATCTACATTTTATAGTACATGCTGTTCCAAAATCAAGTGCATTTTAGAAATTAGTCAACACATACTTTTTCTTACATATTTTAAAATATATTAAATACATATCACTTCTTAAATGAATAAGCATAAGAATATATCTTTAGGTAATGTGTTGTTGTGACTTCAAGTTTGTTCCGACTCATATCGACCTTATATAGGGCTTCCGAGGCATTATGAATCTTTGCGGGAGCAGAAATCCTCATCTTTTTCCCTCAGAGCAGCTGGAGGGCTTGAACCATGGACCTTGTGGTTCACAGTCCATTGCTTATTGTATTTATGTAATATGTGGTGACACTGTATGATAAGCACTGGACTGTGAGCCACAAGGTTGGTGGTTCAAACCTACCAGATGCTTCTCAGAAACCCTATGGTGGTGGTGTGCTGTGGAGTTGGTTCTGACTCATAGCGACCCTGGCGACCCTGCATAGGGTTTCCAAGGCTATAAGGATTTGTGGGAGCAAAAATCCTCATCTTTCTCCTGCAGAATGGCTGGTAGTTTTGAACTGCTGACCTTTAAGTTAGCAGCCCAACTCGTATCCATGAGGCTATCAGAGCTCCTTTGGAAACCCTATACAGGGTCACTATGAGTCAGAATTGACTCTATGGCACTTAATAACTATGGCACTTAACAACGTTAGATTGTTTAAAGAAAAAACATTTAATAACATACTTATCTCAAATTAAAACAACTTTTACTTAAAATCACTCATACATCATGTAGAAATGATGAGGTGATTTTCAAAATTCACGAAGGGTTTCACAAAATCATATTTTAAAAGATTTAGAAATATAAAAAAAATTGACACATGCTGATGGAGCTCAGTTCCTTTACTTCACAGATAAAAAGAGAACGGATCAAGGATCCAAACATATTTTAGATAGTGTCAATAATTAAAATAATACCAACCCGATTTTTTTCATGGGTCCCTGTCCTTACATTGAATATGAGAAAACCAAACAAAACTATGTGACCAACTCTCAGTAGTTTAGTTGCAAACAAATGAGAGCTGAAGTAATTACTCTTAATTTAAAACCTACCCATCCGTGTTTCATTCCTCCAAAGTGTCTGTGCTGGAAGCCACAGCAGACATTACACCATATCCCAAGCCCATAATGATATGGTCTTAGTGAAATGAAAGTCTCCTTAGAAAGACCCACAGTAACACATTCAGCTTCCTGCTTCTCCCAATTGCACTGTGTAAGTAGTTCCTTCTCTAGTTATTCATCAAGATAGACATGGGGTGAATTCCTGGTGGGATAAAGCACTGGATTGCTATGTTGGCAGTTCAAACTCACCAGTCGCTCCTTGGGAACCCTATACAGGGTCACTATGAATTGGAACTGACTCAATAGCACTTAACAACAACAACAAGAAGCTGGCAGAGGAGTCCTGGTATGGCGCTGTAGGATAAGCACCGGACTGCAAAGTCTGTTTGAACCACAGGGTTAGCAGTTCAAACCCATCAGCAAACTCCTCAGAAACCTTATGGAGGGTTGTTCTGAGTAGGAACCAACTTGATGGCATTTTAATAACAGCAAATTGGCAAAGGAGTTCTGGGGCAGTGCTATAGAACCAACACTAGACTGTTAAACTAAAAGTCAGCAGTTCAAGCTAACCAGAGGAAGAATCAGAAACCCTCCATAGAGTCGCTGAGTCTGAGCTGACAGGACAGCACTAAACAACAACAACAACAAACCGGTAAAGGCAGACTATGTCTGAAGTTGACCAGCTGGGGATGCAGAAAATCACTAACCCATTTTTGGCTATTTACTCCCAGCCCTGCCCTCTCCATTGCTCCTCCTTTTTCACAGGAGAACTCTGAGATGTGCTGCACAACAATCCAGGAAAGGAAGAGGGGGAGTCAGGTCACTCCTACCAGAGGGGGTGTTCTTTCCTTATTGTTTGCATTTTCTTTAGTCTTGCAGGATTCCAATGCATCACATCCAGATGTTTTTCTTCCTTTTTCACACCTTTGTACTGGAGGTGGCTGCAAAATGGCAGGTCTTAGAACCTGTTGGGATTGCTTCACAGGACCTTGAAAGAACAGCATAAAAGGGTCAATATATTTTTAATAAGATTCTTCTTTCACCCCACTTTTGTGTTAATGTTTGTTCACTGCAGGCATGATTAAATGAGAGGTTGATGTAACTAATCAAAGCCGAAATAGCCTGCAAATTACCTACTTCTCACTCCCACCTAGTTTTTATTCCGCAACTATTCATTTTGATCCTGGGACCAGGTTTATCATATACCTTCATCATATGCTCCTCTGTCTATCCCCACAACCTTGTTGTTGTTGTTGTTGTTAAGTGCTGTCGAGTTGTTTCCGACCCATAATGACCCTGTCCAGGGTTTCCGAGGCTGTAAATCTTTACGGGAGCATAAAGCCTCATCTTTCTCCCTCAGAGCGACTGGTAGTTTCGAACTGCTGACCTTAAGGTTCGCAGCCCGATTCGTAACCACGACGCTACCACAGCTCCTTACTACTCATATATTCATATAGACCAAAATATGGATGGTGGTGGTGACCGTGCAGTCGGTTCCGACTCATAGCGACCCAGTGCAAGTCTGTAAATCTTTCCAGGGGCAGAAAGCCTCACCTTTCTCCTGCGGAACAGCTGGTAGTTTCAAATTGCTAACCTTGAGGTGGGCATCCTGTCTTGTAACCACTATGACACCAGAGCTTCTCAAAATATGGATAGTAAAATGTAAAATTTTTGCGACTGTTGTAGTAGAAAGAAGCTACATACCTCGTTCTGTATTGTTCATATCAACACTCCTTTGCACAAGAGCAGATGCCATAAAACCACTGTTTTTCTTCACTGTAAGAAAACATTTTTGAACAACTTTTAACCCACCCGAAGTGCCAGTTTCCATATGATGAGGTTTTAGTCTTGTTCTGAGCTCACCAATAGGTGTCGCTGTTGGAACTAACAGTGGGCGTTAGTGCTAGGGCACTGCTAAAAATGCATGCTTACCAGATGAGTTCTGCTTACTCTCAGAAATCGAAGTGAAAATGAGGTCACTGACAGAAAAGTCAGTCTGCTTTAGAATCATGAACTAATGTACTGGAAGAAAAACTAAAAATTATAAATCCAAATTGAGAATAAGCCTTCCATATGCATCAATATATTTCACATGTTGCTTGCTGTTAAGTGCCATTGAGTAGGTTCCAACCCATAGGATCCTGCATAGGGTTTCCGAAGAGCGGCTGGTGAGCTTGAACTGCCGATCTTGTGGTTCAAACCAACTTTGCAGTCCAGCGCATTAACCCACATTGCCACACCTGGACTCCAACATATTTTATGTAGAATATTGCCAAACCATTAACAAATGCTGCTCCCACCTTCCTTACAGCATATGCTTGAAGACGAATATTATGCGAGGTTATTTTTCTATGACATGTGTGAGTGGGATACGACTTTGGTGACGGCTAAAAGTATAGAATTTCTATACATTTCAAAGGGATTGTCTCTTGATTGCAAGTTGTAGAAATAGCTACCTTTGGGATTTGGTTCATGGAAATGAGAAAAGAATAAGAATTGCTTCTTCAAAGGAAAATTAATGTATTTATAAATGTTTCTCTAATAAATAGTTTTTATCTTTATTTTCAAAACCCGACAATGAATGGATCACGCAAAGTTGTAGAATTTTTTTCTAATTCCCAGCACTACCAATATTCTGCGTAACACAAATTGGAAAAGTGTTTACTGAGATCAATTGTTTCCTTATCTATTCTTTTCTTTTTTTGTCTATGTTTTGAAATTTTTAAATAATTGAAGCATAAAGCCATCCTCTTACTTTATGCACAAATACAATACGATAAATCACCTTTGCCTTTGTATTAGGATCCCTTTTCATCTTAATGTCTAACTTGTGTTGAGCTACAAAGTGACTGCTCTGTGTCTGAAAGGACCTTGGCCTGCTATTACTCAGTCATGTTTGGAGTTATTAATAAGAATATGTTGTTGTTTCCATTAAGTTGGTTCTGGCTTATAGTGAGCCTATATAGGATTTTTGAGGTGCAGTTGGTGGGTTTGAACCACTGACCTTGTGGTTAGCAGTCCGTTGCTTATCCTACAGTGCCACAGATTTGTTAATTTGAACACTTAATGTATTTTCTGGATATAAGGGGTTCAGCTCAAAGAAAGCAAATAGCTTGCATTTTTTATTAATAAATAAAAAGTAAGTGTTGAAGAGCAGAGATGTCAGCTTGAGGACTAAGGTGCGCCAGACCCAAGCCATGGTATTTTCAATAACCTCATATGGATGCGAAAGCTGGACAGTGAATAAGGAAGATCATAGAAGAATTGATGCCTTTGAATTGTGGTGTTGGAGGAGAATACTGAAAGTGCCATGGACTGCCAAAAGAACCAATAGATCTGTTTTGGAAGAAGTGCAGCCAGAGTGCTCCTTGGAGGCCAGGATGGCTAATTTTCGTCTCTCATACTTTGGACATATTGTCAGGAGGGAACAGTCATTGGAGAAGGAAATCATGCTGGGTAAGATGGAGGGTCAGAGAAAAAGAGGAAGACCCCCAATGAAATGGATTGGCCAGGTGGCAGCATTGATGGCGTCAAGTGTGGCAGCAGTAGTGAGGTTGGCCCAGGATCGGACATTGTTTCCTTCTGCTGTGCATGGGGTCGTTATGAGTCGGTTCCGACTCGATGGCACCTGACAACAACAACAACAAGTGATATGCTTAACTTGGGTCATGCATATTGTTATGGAAAATAATCCTACCAGATTTATTTGAGCAGAACCAAATCATATAAGCATATACATCATAATTTAAATGTGGAGATAGTTTTGACGATTCCAAATATTTTATTATGATAAAAATAATTTTACTTATCAAAACATTACACATTTCAAATAAAGAGAAGTAATGTTTTGCTTAGTGAAAAGTTCAAACTGAATCATACTCTACATTTCAGAATATGAATATAAAGTATAAAATTAAAAATAGGAATTTAAACAATATTTACTTCTTCAACAGGGCCATTGTTGTTGTTGTTAAGTTCCATGAAGTCAATTTTAACCCTTCGCAACCCTATATAGAGTTTCCAAGGATCAGCTCCTTTCAATTGGTGGTACAGTGCTTATCCTAAAGCATCACACTTTGTTTTATAAAACAGTTCACTGATCCACAAGGTCAGTTTGAACTGAAAGTCAGTGGTTCAAATCTACCAGCCACTCCTTGGAAACCCTATACAGGTTTGCTATGAGTAAGAACCAACTTGATGACAATAACAACAACAACAATCAAATATAAAGTCCTAGAAAACATCCCCATTTTCAGATTTTCTAACAAAGACATACACCTAGGCTATCTGGGTTTGTATGGTTAGAATTCATAAGGTATTGTTCCATGTGTACTTCATTGCAGCCTCTATTTAAATAGTTGTTTTTAGTGTTGAAGAAAATTACTGAAAGTACCATGGACTTCTAGAAGAAGAAACAAATCTGTGTTGGAAGAGTACAGCTAGACTGCTCCTTAGAAGCCTGGACGGTAAGACTTCGCTCATACTTTGGACATGTTACCAGGTGGGACAAGTCTCTGGAGAAGGACATCATGCTTTGTAAAGTAAAGGGATGGGGGAAAAGAGAAGACCTCTAACAAGATGGATCTGTACAGTAGCTGCAGCAATGAGCTCAAGTGTAACAACAGTTGTGAGGACGGCACAGGATCGGGCAGTATCTCATTCTGCTGTGGAAAGAGTCTCTATGAGTCGGAACTGATCCGAAGGCACCTAACAACAACAATTTGATTTGTTAATAAAATGTCAGCATTTTCTGGTAATTAAGAAAGAAAACTCATCATAAATGAAACTGAATCTTGAAACATCAGAGTATGGAGACTGAGGCTCTAGAAATTCTTTAACATTTGGTCCAGGAAGGGAGAAGCTGGGGTGGTCAGTGAAGGATGATGATCAAATTTGTTTCTGGGACAAGGTTGATGCTGAAAGCAGATTGCAAACCAAAGTCCAGTCGAAAGTGGCTTTTTGTTTGTTGTGATTTGGATTTTTGTTGTTTTATAAAATTTATAAAATTTTCTATATTATAAAATCATGAGAAAGATGAAGCTTTATGCTCCTGTGAAGATTTAAAGCCTTGGACCTACGGGGCCAGTTAAATTCAAGGCAGACAAGTTAGTTTAGGAAGTT